TGGTGAGAAACTACCTTTAGTCAATACTTTAGTTACGTCAATGACTAAAGTCAAAAGTTTCGTCATACATCATTAGTGCAACCCTTAATGAATATGATAAAAATTTCCAACATGTGTATTAAAATATCAAGACGAAATTGCTCTATTAAAACTTTCTAATGAATACTGAAAGGTCTTCTCTGCATAAATCCATGGCTATTCAAAGATGGCATTACTTTTTCGCTTCAAAGCTGAGATTATTTTTCAATATCACTTTGAGAATACTCTAAACTTTCATATGGTCATTACTTTATTGGGGTATTGGTTAATTAATTCACAAAACAATTTTATAAAATTTTTAAAAAAAAGAAATTGGAACCAAGTTTATAATCTTATTATTTATGAAAGTAAGTGATGCATATTTTAGTAGCTTCTTCAATGTTTTATACTACAAAAAGATTATTAATAACGATATCTTATTTCGTTTACTTCACGTGTAAGATTTTGAGTTAATATAGGTTGAAATATCTGATAGCCATGAAAATTATCTCAGGATTGCAAGCATTGATGGTACACCATTATTAAGAGATATGTATGATTATATTAATTATTTTTTAAAGAAAAAATGAATCTATGGTTAAACAATCTGACAATGTTAAATTATTTATCATGTTTATTAATAAATTAATGATCAATATTATTATTTTTAGAAAACAGAAATTATTTGTATTAGATAGAAAACTCAACATATTCCTGTAATAACAATACCACCAATATACTGCTATTTATTAAAGGATATGTATGCGACATTGCAGTACACAATCTTCAGAACTTAAGCTATTAACTCTATAAGTTTCGATATTGGGAAATTGATGAATTTAGGGCGTCTTATACTTTTGCTATGGTACTCTATCTATAATAATAAAGCTGTAAATCATTATGGTTTTACTGTTTTACAGTTTATGGCATTTATGGACAATATGGTATGTGACATAACTGCATTATTTTTACCTAGCAACTCCGAAAGGCAAGTATATTCAAACAGCACTTTCTTTGCAAATGGATACAATATGACAATTTTCTTTTTCTAATTCTTCCTCCAACTATAAATATCCATAAATCCAAGAGAATTGTTTTCAGAAAGAAGGTTTCTTTATATATAGGAAGCATAGAATAGTGAGGAAATAGATAGTGTCAGCCATAGCAAACTTATATTAAATATCATCATCGGGAGTTTGTTTGCAACTCAGACCATGATCTCACATTATTAAAATGTATATAAATATATCTAATGAAGAAACATTCTTATTTTTATTATTAAGAGAAGAAAAATACTAACAAATAACCTTTAGAATCTTCAATTAAAAAAATTATATTACCTATAATAAATATAAATTTATTGTTAAAATAACAAAATAAAATATTATTAATTATTTTTTTTTGTAATTTTATTTTTTGTGAATTATTTGAAATACTTCTAATACATCATAATTACTATTATCTACTATATTAATGTCACTATAAGAATAATGTCTATTAACAACAATTCTACTTGGCGTAAAACCAAGATCAACAGCACCAAAAAGAGCTGAATATGAAGCATGACAGTAAATTGCATAATCATAATTATTTATAGGATAACTAAACTGTGCAGAATTAATATTATTTCTATTATGAATGTTAAAAATAAAACTTTCAGTTGTATTTTTACCTATATACGATCCATTCCAATTAAGTGGATTATAACCTCCTACTAGTTGATCAGAATTTTGTATTTTGCCAATTACAAGAGTTTTATTGATATTGTCACAGTTGTGATGAAATTCTTTTATACTATCACCATCTCTACTACTGCGATATATAAGTTTGAATTTGTATTTAACTTTCCCAAATGAACTATATGGTGAACTTTTTCTATCAATCCAACTTGCAAAAAGCAAAGTAAGATTTTGATTGATTGTCAATGATTCAAGTGTTGAATTCAGTGATTCAAATTTAGGATTCCTTGATGGTAATAAATTTAATGTTTGTTGTCTATCAGGAAATAAATGATGATGTAAAAGGAGATCCCATAAAGTCTTAGGAAAAAGCTTGCGATATGGAATAATTTTAAAACCAAAATCATCTTTAGAAATATCCTGAAATCTTATTAAAGGAATAAATTCTTTTAATGTGTTACCCATATCAACAAAATTTTGTGGTGACCAATCATCAACATCAATATTGTTGATTTCTGGATGTTTTGCTAATCCCCATTTAAGAATATTTTCCCAAATAACCATCTCATTAATGGAAAAATCATCTCTTTTGAGAATTTCCAATAGGATTGGTTTTCCCAACAATTCAAATTCACTTGATTCAAATAATTTTTCACTATAATTACAAAACTTTTTTAAATAAATATCTTTCAATTCATTAAATTTTTCATTAGCATAAATCAATTGTAAAGTTTTAACTGGACTTTCTTTTATATAATCTTCATGATTTTCAACAAAATATTTCATAATATATTCATAAAGTGACTCAATACCAAGTTGATCTGCTGCAATTAATAGTTCAAATACTTCAGCTCCAGAATAATTTTCAAATTCAATTTTACATGTGTATAAAAATCTTTCAATAAATAAATTATTAAACGAATTATTATCATTATTATATATAATAAATAAATAAATAATATATTTATTTAAACCTACTTGAGAATAGGCTTGAAACATTTTTCACTAATATTAGCTTCCCTAACAATATAATATCCATCTTCTTTTGTTGCATCACTTAATGCATTGCTAAAAAATGGACAATGAGCAAATATGATGGATGCATGTGCATGAACTTCTTTAATGTTTGGTTCTACACCAAGATATATTTTTACATCATAAAAATCCTCTGTATTGAATAGCCTTTCATTTTCATTGAAATATTTTTCCAAAATTGTTGAATCCATTTAATTTATTTTTTTTAAAAAAATTTTAAAAAATTGCAATTGTAAAATCAAATGCTACAATAAAAATAAAAGGTTGGTGTGATGTAAATAAAACGGTTGAGCCGATACTTCCCTTTTGCAGAATATAAATAATTACGAAAAATAAAAGAAAATGCGCGCCTTCTGAAAGCAAGTTAGTACAATACTATACTAAAAAAAAATTCCAAAGTTAATTATTAATTATTTTTTTTATTTTTATTTTTATTTTTATCTTTTTAAAGAAAAAATAGATTATGATTAAACGAATTGTTACGCGACAATTATTATCTTTTTAAAGCGTTTCTTTTTTCTCTTGATGGATAATGTAACAACAAAATTACTTCTGATAATTCTGTAATATATAGGAAAAGAAACTTTTTCTTACATAGAGGCATGTATTCCTCCGTAGAGTTTTGCTTATGTAATTAGTGATGATAACTTTTGTTATTATTGACAAATAAATTTGCATTAGAGAGATCTTATATAAACACAAATAAAATTATGACCAAGCAGTTATTTCGTGTGAATCGTCAGATGATGATGAACTAAATAAATATTTTTGTTTCTCCTTACTAATGATGTATGATGTAACGTTCGACTTTATTTATTAAAAGCCCTTGACGTAAAATAAAACCACTTGATGTAATTAAAAAACACTTGACGAAAGTAAAAACGTTTGATACAAGTAAAAAAAAACACTTGATACAAATAGCAATAATAATAATGATAAAATAGGTTTATCGAAAGTTCCAAGTTATGTGAAAATGTGTGTTCCGAGGATCAATAAAGAATTATTATATCATTGTATATTGCAATGATGCAAAAAGAATTCATGGAAAGTTTACAAATGTTATAATTCGGATTAGAAATTTACTTGATTCAACTACTTGTTTTTTTCCGTATATTTTCTTCAAAATAAAAATTACTCTTCTTTTTTACAAATTAAAACTATTCTTTTATTATTACATTTCATATAATCAAATGGTCTTTACATGCATATGAGTTAAATTGATGTTTTTTCGAATTTTTGACTTTTGAGGTTAACTACGCGTAATAGTAATACGCAATAATATTAATAATGTGCTTGAGCTGTCTTTGGTGTCTGAGTTTGAAGCAACATAGGTTGATCAATATTGGTACTTAGAACAACTTTACATGGCACATAAGATAGGTTTTGGTACATATTTTGTAAGTTTTAATTTTGTTTTCTATTTTTAAATCTTCAAAGAATGGTGAAATTCTCTTATTGTTGAATCACAATAAATAGATCATTAAAGCTTGGTGATGATGAATTTGTTCGCAATTTTCGCTTTTCCTTATCAATTAATCCTGTTAGAGAAAAACTTAGTATTAGGCAATCAAAAAAATTGTTGTACGAAAAAATTGGTATTCAGTTCTCTACAAATGAAAACAAGTTTTTTAAACGAAAACGTAACTATGAGTTTCATGAAATACAGATTAATATTATCATTATAGTACGATGATATTTTTTGGCGTCATAGTATTATAAAATTACATGGCTCAATCACTTACATATTAATATATATTCGTTCGGAGCATCAAAATTAGCATTGGATACGAAGAGGACTCCGGAAACTCATATCAGATGCTCCCGGCAAAAATTATAATCTTTTTACTCAACCTATTGTCTATTAACTTTACCTAGTCATTAATAGGAATCTTTTTTTTTGTCCTATGTTAGTCGGGGCTCTTTTTCTAAATATTTGTTACAATTATACATTTATCTATTATTCATTCATTCAATTAATCATTTACATTATCCTTGATATTAAAAATAGAAACTAAATGTGAATGTGTTTCACCTGCATTAAAAAATGGATGAATCTTGATCAAGTGTAAGGAGAGAATTTGAATGGAATATAAAGGGAATACTAATACCAAAATAATATACAATTTCTTTGATTTTAAATGTGCATACAATTTACCTCCTACCTTACATTCATTCGAAAATAATGTGTCTCCATATATAATGAAGCTGTGATATAAGATAATGAATCAAGATCATTGATACTTTGTGAAACTAAACCATGTTTCCCACCTATCAATTGATACATTGCAAAACCTTACTATACATAAAATTCCATCCAGTCCACACAAGCAAATAACCATCCTTTTCTAATTGATAGACTTTAGAAACATTAGCACGGCCTATATCAGTGACTAAAAAGAATGTATTTATAAGTAAATGAATTTCATAGTAAAAATTAGGTTAAATTATATATTTACCGTTTGTTTGACCAGAGTTAACTAATGATTGTATCTGATCATGACTTTTCAAACATTGCGTTCTCCTCCTAATAATTTGATCACTTGGATTGTTACTTAACTGTTTTACCAAATGATTAGCTAAATTTCTATCAATTCTATCCTGAGATTCTTGATTCAAACCAATGGCTGTTTGAGTTTGTATTCCATGAAGATGGTCAGAATGAGAAAATGCTTCATGAGATTTTTGTAATTCTAATATTAAAACATGTCACAGTCAAATAAACACCATTTCGAACACATAAATATCTATATATTATATAAAATAATTATATTCCCTGATAATAAACTAAAAAAGTGGTGAAGATGTTCAGAATATTGTAATCCTTTTTTGCTTTATCCATGTTCTTGAATTTTTAATTTAAAGCATTAATTCTACCAGTTCATTAATATTTTATCAGTTTTAAATGCATCTTTCTTTCCACATTCAGCTAATTTTGACCACATTTGACTTTCATCTGAATATTCAACGGTGGTTCCATATAAAGTACTTAATTTATCATTTCCTAAAAGCTCAACCAATCTATTATTTTAAAAATGCCATTTTGTAGTATATTTAAAAGTTTTTAGTTATAAAACAACAAATATTTTTTTTAAAAAAAACTCTAAATGTCTATATTATAAATTATAGATGATAAAAACAAATATACTGCACTGACTGCATCACAAAAATATGAATTATTTTTTAATCTATTATATTCCCCACATATTTTGAATTCATTTTTAGTAAATTTGTTACATTTAATGCTCATTACTTATAAACCTCCTCGATCCAAAACCCATGATGCATGTGCTCATTGTGCATTACAAAGTTCTTGTCATTCACTATAACTTAATTTGTTATAAACTAGATGCTCACCTTCAAATTTCTGTGGAAATAACTGACAAGTAAGTTCCATTTCATTTTTTGAACCACCAAAAGCTGATAGAAATTTTAGTACAAATTGTTTAATTTGATCATTTGTCAAACCTGGCAGGGATGAGATCATCTTTTTGACAATATATCTTTATTGCTGGTTTTATAATATTCTTCAATGCTAACTTGACCTTGTACTTTAGCACTGCATGCTCTCTTGCTATGTATATGGCTGGAAAAAATTGAATCAATTAAATTGTTTTTTTAATAAACATATAAATATATTTTTACTTACATTTTAAATTTTTAATGAGTACTGTTTGTCTGATTTTAATTCTTTTCCACATATGCATCAAATATGGTTTGGGTTAATTAGCCGTGAAAAATATTTGTATCTGCACAATTTTATTTCCTTAGGACACATATAAGATTTTCCATCAAGTGGAAGTTCATTGTATTCATCATTACTGCATTCATATAAGTTGTCATTATGTTCATTGGATTCATCATCATCTGTATCACTATTTGCATCAATTTCATTAAAGGAATGCTTTTATGAGTATTAAAGGAAATTAAGCGTTGTTTGCTGTAGTTGATTTATTGCATTGGAAGGTACAGTTCTTTATTATGGTCTATAGATTTATTTTTACCCTTTTTTTGGCTTGAATCAAAATGCGTTATGGATATTATAGGGAAATTAAGGCTCTTTTTGTTGTGAGCATTCTATTCTGTGAAAAAAAGTAAAAAAAGTCCAAAATAGGAATTATCAAATTATCAATCATGTGGTGTGGTATATGACTTTACCCCGTTACTAATATTAGCCGGGAGGCAAAGGAAACTTTACCCTGTAAAAAATTTGGACATTTTTTAAGGTGCTATTAATTTTACCTATAGCTTAACTGGTAACTTTTGGAAATTTTTTATATAAACTACATGACAGGAGCATCTAATATAAGTTTCCATGATCCTATGCGAAGCATCCTATCATGTATTCATGTTCAATGATTCAACCATTAATAAAAATAGACTATTTCATGGCCAGATGACAAAAAACATATATAAATAGACCCCAAAAAAAATGCAAAAAATGGTGCATTGGTTTTGCTTTTTACGTCGCATTCGAGTTCGAAGATCGAGGCACATAGTGTTTTACATATGATCTGGCTTTACACATTACATTCAAATGCGAGATGTCTATATATTCATTCGGAGCATCAACATTAGCCAAGTCATGTTTTATCCGTTGCGTCGAGCAAAAAATTTATTTATTTAAAAAAATTACACATACAAAGTGAAATTGCTTACGAATTTAATAAATTTAATAAAAGATACTTTGCAAAGAAGAATCCTCATGTGAATCAAAAGTTTACAAATTTCGATTATAAAAAAAAATCAACCAAGCTTTTTTTAAAAAAATAAGATCTTTTTGTCCCCGTGTTTATTTATTTATCCCATATTAAAGGTCAATTGGATCAATTGAATTTTTTTTTTTCAAGTCTATCGCTATAAAAGAATAAACTTCATGCAAACATCAAAAGTTATTTACAAATTTCGACTGTTAAAAAAAAATCCTTTGCAAAGATTAATCAAATATTTTATTTGTTTTCTCCGAAAGGAAATTAATAAAAGTTTTCCATCATCTACTATCCTCCTCAAATGGTCAAAATCAAAAAATTGTAATTCAACACTGACAATCAAAAAAATTTTATAGGTTATTTTAATTGGAAAATCAAAACGCGGAGCTGGGTAATTACAAGATTTTCATTGATAATATTTTGCTTTTCGTAATCGTAATAATATCAATGCAGCATTGACTGTTGCAAAAGAAACATTTCGAAATGTGACATTTGATTATCGGAAATTGGCAGATGTTGAAGCACGCACGCTACCTTGAACACTTTACAGTCTGTTCCTCATGTACACAAGGCTAATCTGACCAAGATTTCCATGATGATATGATGATGGTGTTGAATTCCAGAGGGGGGCATGGCTCTGGAGTTTACTGAGACTGTATCAATCGTCAATGACACCTTCACTAATCTTCCCGTACAGCACCAGACTAGAGAAGGCTGCTGGCACGCTGGCCGAAAATTCGCCTGCAACAATCCTACCTCTAGGGTAAGGATAGCTCTGTGATTAATTCGTAACTCTGTTGATGAATTGTAATATTAGATGCGCATAAACATCCAAATCATCAAAGCAAAGAGAATCTGCAACTTGTTTCAAGCACATAAGGTCACAATCCAGAGCAGGGTTTGTGGCCCTGAAATTGCATTTGGACTGAGGAAAGTTGTAAAATATTGTTTGTTTTGTATAATCACTTTCATAAATGCTCTGTTTCTCTTATACTAACCAATTTATGATTTTGGGTAGGAGACTGAACGGGGTTTTTGCCCAATCAGTCCTCTGTCCTGTAGATTAAAATTATCACATGATTATATACATCTTTGTCAGCAATATGGCCAATGAGAAAAGATCATAAAATAGTTTGGTTTTTGGTATGTTATGTTATAAATTAATCATTTTCATAAATTTTCTGTTTTTCTTTAATTTTTGTTTGACCAACTGAACTTGTTATTTAAATCAACTTTATTCTAGTGAGAGAGGGGGATAACACAAAGCAATCACCGCACAAGCACCAGCTATCAGTGATCAATACCCATATGGAAACAGCCAAGCCTGGTCTAGGGGAAGATAAGTGAAAGTTTTGTCCAAAGCCTTCCAAGATATGGGGTATTTCAACTGTGGAAAAAAAATCCATGGTGCTGAAGTGTGTGAAAGCACCCGACTGCATGTTTGTGATAGGAAATTTTAATTAAATCTGACACCTGCAATCAACATCAGATTTATTACTCATAAGGAAAAGTAATTTATTTTGTGAACCCCAGCCTTACGTTTACTACTACAATAATACTACTTCATTAACGCCCACCAGTTAACCAACATTAGTCTAAACCTTTGCTTACTCACTAAAGCAAATTACGTTACTAATTGTTGCTAGCACTCGCCAGTTAATCAATGTTAACCCTAACCTTGCTTGCTTGCTCATTAAAGCAAATAAACGTGGCTTTTCACCAAAGTTCCATGATGGTTACTTTTTACCAAGGCACCAACTACACTTGCTGTTTTTATCAAAACGTTTTAAACAAGGGAAATAAAGACAATGTTTTTATTTTTATT